TTAAATATCAAACAATGCGGATGCTGCGTATGCCAAGAAACATACCTCGAAGCGAGTTTTGATAACGGTAGCCGGCATGAGCAGTAGTGTAGCGGCAGTACGCGAACATGAACCCAACAGGAAATTTGCAATATGTGCATTTGACAACTGAGGCATTGCATTTTTGCCCAATTGCAAAAAACCAAAATAAAGCGTTATTCCGGGAACAGCACGCAGCAAAGTCTAAAAAAGAACATCAGCCTGCACAGCAGCAGTACATTTCAAATTTGCCCGTAGCAAAGCAAAATGATAGGCATAATTAAATGTTACCGGTGAAGTGCCACGCCACAAATCCAAAAATCCATGAGTGCGTACAACCTTACTGAAATATCTGGTGGGATTCGCTGAGGCAGCTGCATCCTGCTGCGTCAATGTCTTTAACCGATCGAGTGGCTGCAACAGTACTGAACTGAAATAGCATCAGTTCTTTATTGAAAACGCCCGACTGCTTCATTTGCCTTAGATGGATGTGTTTGTTTGGCCCCGTGTGAATGAGCTCTTTTCACCTCAAATAAATGTTTTTTTTTTTTTTTATTTCAAATAGATCAACTCTTTCCGTTTTAAATCACTGAGCTACAATCGCCCGTGATTTTATGTCTTTAATGAGATTTTTTAAAAGTATTATTTTGACTTCAAAGCAAAGTCGCATGCAGAATAAGGTTTGTTTCAGCGCATGCATTTCCTTACACAGTAGGCTCCTTTCGCCTTAAGAAAATAACGCCGAATATTTAACAAAAAAAATAAATAAATAAATAAATAGCGGGGTGAGAGCGCGTAGCCGGTATGATTATGCGTTTTGTGAAGTTTCGCACCGGACGAGTGGTGATGAGAATATTCACTGCTTTACAGTTGGGTATGTGCCAAAATTGCATGTATCCGTAAATGAAAAGTGGGCTTTCATGACAGCCAGATTTAGATTTGGACAGAAAACATTCTTTAACAATTTTAGCTTTCTGTTTTGCCTAGTTCCCGAACTAGAAAATTCCTCACGTATATTTTCAGTTGTCCACACGTGCAGCACAAAACATGACTGAAAGCTGAATTGGAAAGTTCAGTGTTATGTATCCGAAGGAATTCTCAGCCTTTCACTTTGCCGGCTTCCGAAGCAGAAACTTCCGCGCTAGAAGTCCCACGTGTCCGCGTATTACAGCCGCACGTAGGGGCTGGATTTAAATTTTTGAGGTCGGACATAGGCTTGGAACTCTGAGATTTTAGCTTCCTAACTTTCGAAGTACTCCACAGTTAGTAATTTTCGCGCCAAAAATTTCAACTGCCCATACACGAGTTCTAAGCGTACATTGAAGGCTGCAGGGCCACATGTCGACAAGGGACGCTGCCCTAAAATTTCAGCTTTCTAGCTTTTGTGGCTCCCAAGTTGAAAAGTGAGGACAAAATACACTCGGACAAATACACAGACAGACAGAGGCGTGATAATATGCGTTTTGTGCAGCTGCTGCAAAGCACAAAACGCATAAAAAAAAAAAAAGCAACAGAGTTGAGAGATGGATAAAAATCGCTTGAAAAGAACGAGACTAAAGCTTTGAAGGGCATCAAAATGAAGAGCTACGCAAACTGTTTAATCAGAAACGAACGAAAAAGGCCATCTGAGTCATTCGGAAGGCTAGGAAATAATAGATGAAGGAAACAAACAAAACAACAAATCAAAGAAGAACACATTTCTCCCTGTGCAGCTACGAGCCCCTGTAACCTCCTGCCCCGTGTCGTCGGAGCCGAGGATGGCTCTCGGCTATGATAAAAGTGCAGTGACGTTAGCAGTGGCTGTAATCCAGAATCTTCGCAGAAAAGCACCCTCCTTATTATGGCATCACAGTAAAACCCATTTGTTCACACACTAGTCGTAACAGCCGATAAGGGATAGAGCGCCTCGGCCTCAACCACTTTTTATTTCTCATTCCATCAAATTGGACTGGGCAAGAAGGTAGGTCCCATCCCGAGGATGACGAGAAATCGGGCTCCGTGACGAGGGCGGCTGGTGGTGGCTGAGGACGACGAACGGTGATACCCGGCTTCAATTCATACATTATATTAGTCTCCCTCTCCTAGTTTTGATGAAATTCTTGGCACTTTCTGCTGCAGGAGGCTTTGCACTGAATTGCCCAGAAATATATCTCGGACATCGCCGTTCCGTTCTCAGTTCGGGTCAAAAGTACTGAGGATACTGCAACAAAAATAGGATTTGCGTGGAGGAAGCAACATGCAGCAAGAAGTTTTGTCATGCGCGGTTACCAATCGTGTGCGGTACATAACACCAAAATCAACTTCCAAGCCTCCTTCGGTCCTGGCCCCTAAACTCAAACAAAAAATCCGGCGAGAACTGCAACTCAACAACGCCCACGCAAATTCGAGACCATAATTTTTATTACACAGCGCAGTGCAGGATAAAAAGCCGAGAACTAGTTCTGAAAATTCGGTATGTCCGGAGAGATAGCACCTGCGATCAAGAGCTTGATTCATACCAAACTTCGGGAGGAACGAGCGAGAACTCAGCGACCCAGAATCAGTTTTCAGAACGCAAGTTTCGTAACCAATAACACGAATCTTGCGCTGATCTCAGATTGTTCTACGACGAAACAGGTCACGAATCCACAACCACCAAATACCCCGGAAGAATACACTTGCTGCCCCCCCCCCCACCATATGCCGACAACCAAAAAAAAGCACACAGAGGATCATGCAAGCTCCCCACCCAAGCAGTGCAGCAATTCTTTTGCTTTGCGAAGCTGAACGAAGGGGAGGAGGGGTAGGGCAATTCAGCAATACTCACGAAAGAGCTTGTGCCCATCGACGAGCCATTTACAAACCTCAGCGATGCGGATATCACGCCAAATATCACGGCGTCTAATATATCTGCGCCTTCCTCCGCCATCAGCACACCACCGATGCAACACCCACGTATCCCACACGCACAGTCATATATATATGTATACTGAAATCAGAAAACATCTTAAACACAATAAGACGGGCATCAGATCCAAATTATGACAATTTCAGCGCATAGAACGACACAATTTTAGCCCAGAAAATGAGCAATTACAAAAACTCGGCTCAACCCCCACTAAGAAAGGCCCTCGTTTCCCTGCTAATGTTATTTTCGGACGCCGCTTACCGGCAATGCCTGGCGTCCTGCCAGCGAGCACTAGGTAGCGATACCCAGACCTCGGCAGTTATACGACCTGGTTAGGGTGTAGTGATAAAGGCGTGGGACGTAGTTAGGAGTATTGGTTAGTAAGCTGGGCAGCTGAAATTTTACAGAGCGCTCCCTACCCACGTGCGACCCTGCTAGTTTAATTCAGCCTTTCGGTGTCAGCGGGTAATACGGCCTTGTGAAAGCTTTGGCGGGAAAATCATCTCGGGAACCACGAAAGCTAGGAAGCTGTAATTTTAGGGGGAGCCCCCTGCCCGCATATGACCTCACAAACTCAAATTCAGCGTCAACGCACGTCTGTGCTTCACGTGTGATCACGTGAAAGTTCGACGCCTAAATTAGTAATTAGGCGAGCACAAAAGAGGTGGGAAGTTGAAATTTTAGGAGAATGTTCCATGCCCGCGTGTGACCCAACAAAGTTAAATTCGGTCTCCATTTGTGCCTAGCTCTCATGCAAGGACACGTGAAATTTTGGGCGCCAAAATTGATAATTCTGGACCACAAAAGCTAGGAGGCTGAAATTTTATGGGTATGTCCCCTGGCTACGTGTGACCCACAGAATTTAAATTCAGCTTTCACGTATGGCCCCATGAAAGTTTTGAGGAGGAAATTACCCAGGGAATCATGAAAACAAGGAAGCTGAAATTTAACGGGAATGTTTTCTGCCTTCGTGCAACCCCGTAAATTCAAAATCAGTTTCCAGTCAAGCCTGGATCTCAGTTGTGCCCCCATGAATGTTCCGCCAGGAAAAAATGCTATCTTGGAAGCCATAAAGATAGGAAGGTGAAATTTTGGGAGAATGCTGACTCGTAGAAACAAATTCAGCTTTCGTGTACGCTGGGTCTCCTGTGCGGCTCCGCGAAATTTTTGATGGGGAAAATTATTGTCTCGGGAACCAGAAGAACCGTGAAGCTGTAATTTCAAGAGGATGTTTTCTGCCCATGCAAGTACCTCACAAACTCGAATTTAGCTACCAAGTATGCCGAGGTCTTATGTGCGACAGTGTGAGAGTCCTGATGTGAAAGTCACCAGCTCGGAAGCCAGAAAATTGGAAGGTTGGAGTATGGGAAGTTGTTCCCCGTCCAGAGTTTCAAATTCAACTTCCATATACTGGCGCGTAAAATTTTTACTGGGAAATTCGTCAGCTTAGGAGCCAGCCAGCACATCGACTATTTTTCCACATACCAAAGTGTAAAACAGTTATGTTTTTAGCAAACAAACGTCCGCTGGACGGAACTGCACAAAACGCATGATCGCACTGGCTACCCTGGTGCGCGCCGTTATTTATAATTTCCGTTTCATCAAACTGGACTGGGACAAGAAGGTAGGTCCCATCTCGAGGATAACGAGAAATTGGGCTCCGTGACGAGGGCGGCTGGTGGTGGCTAAGGACGACGAACGGTAATAACCGGCTTCAATTCGTAACACTATATTAGTCTCCCTCTCCTAGTTTTGATGAAATCCTTTGCACTTTCTGCTGCAGGAAGCTTTGCACCGAACTGCCCAGGAATATGTTCGGACATCGCCGTTCCGTTCTCAGTTCGGTCAAAAGTACTGAGGATACTGCAACAAAAATAGGATTTGCGTGGACGAAGCAACATGCAGCAAGAAGTTTTGTCGGGCGAGGCTACCAGCCGTGTGTGATACATAACACCAAAATCAACTTCCAAGCCTCCTTCGGTCCTGGCCCCTCAACTCAAACAAAAATCCGGCGAGAACTGCAACTCAACAACGCCCACGCAAATTCGAGAGCATAATTTTTATTACATTGATCAGTGCAGGATAAAAAGCCGAGAACTAGTTCTGAAAATTCGGTATGCCCGGTCCTACCACCTATCATACCAGACTTCGGGAGGAAGCTTGGTCATCTGATATTTTGTGATTTCAGTTCGCCGGATGAGCGAGAACTCAGTGATCCGTAATGGGCTTTTGAAACGCAAGCATTTGTAATCTATAAAACGAATCTTGAGCTGATCTCAGTGTTTTATGAAGAAAGAGGTCACGAATCCACAACCACCAATCCCTCACGCACCGTCGTCTACTGAAATCAGCAAATAGCTTTAATACAATAAAATGTTGCATTGAAACAATTTCAGTGTATAAAATGACACAATTTCAACCCTTTTAGTGCCCACCAGTGCAACATCCACACGCACACCATGGATAGACACATTCAAACAGGTACACACACACACACACACATACACACACATACACAAACACACACGCACACACTCGCTCTTGTTCCACAGCTGTTCGCTGACTGCATCAGACTCTCACAAGTTATATATGTTAGATACAAAATTGCATGGGGCAAGGAAGAAACCTGGACAGAAAACTATACAAGCAAAATCATAGAGAGACTGATCATCGGGCCAAATCTTTATTAGCGATATTTCGCAACTTTTACGAGTGCGTCGCAGAGTTCTGCGATCGCTGCAATAACAAAATGAAGTGCGAGCAATGGCTGGTTGTAGTTGGGGGCGCACACGGACGGAGAACAATGGAGATCGCTGGATACGTCGACCAACATTTCGTAGGCTTGGAAGAGAAGCTTGATCGTCCGGATCAGGGCGTCCACAAACAGAATCTCCACGCTCGGATCAATCGTCGCGCTATCGATCACGCTGCGCTGCTGCTGGACATTGATGTTCAGTTCCAGCACCGACAATGTCATCCAGTGCACCTGGGCCAGTCCGGAGAGCGCTTTCTCGAGTTCAACACCCGCACCGTCCGGCATCGCGCTGTTCGCACTCAGATCGGCCAGCTCCTGAAGCAGCATCGAGCTGCCCCCCACCATCGACAGCCCCTCGCACAGCAGTTTCATGGCTAACTCATTCTTCTGCGCCAAAACACTTTCGATAGACTGCGCTTCACCCATGCTCGTCGCGCACAGCCCTCTGTGCTTATCGGTACAACTAACAATGCATTCTCCCAGTTCAGCGTCCGCTTTTAAATACCCCGAAACGACGTGGGCCTGCTGGCACTCACCGCGAAATGCAACGCGGGCAAAACGTGAGCTGGCTCGATGCATTGCGCAATACATACCAGTTACCACTGCGCACTCAATTGTTGTTGTCGCTGCTACTACTACTACTACTGCTGTTGTTGTTGCTACTGCCACCGCTACTGCTCTCCCTGCTGCTTCCGCTTACTACTGCTCTGCTGTACCCACCGAGTCGACTGAAGTCCCACTTCAATTAATATCTCACCAGAAAACCCAACAGCCTTTTACATTCAATACCCATAGGCAATTATTGAAACTCGGTTCGGCCGTATTGGCGATAACCGTGTATGACGGATGGGAAGGGTGGCTGAGGGTGATGGTTATGCGTTTTTGCCGTGCAGCAGCGCTGCAACAGGCAGCAAAAACGCATATTGCAACGACCCTGTCAATGTGTGTGTGTTCGTCTGTCCGGGTGTTTCAGCTCGCCAACCACGCAAGCTTTGAGGTTGAAATTTTGCCAGTGTGTTCCCCAGCCAAGTACCACCCCAGGACCTCAGTATCAATTCTCAAGCACGTCTGGGCTCCGCGTACGAGCACGTGAAAGTTTTGGCGCGAAAACTGATAACTCGGGAACGAGAAAAGCTAGAAAGCTGAAACCTTGGGGGAATATTCCCTACCTGTGTATGACAG